TGCTCATCAGCTGGGCCCTTTCTCAGGCAAAATAACGCTTTTTTACAGCATACTGCCACTTACAACCGAATATCCTGCACTACCTTGCAACTATCACAGTCTTTCACATAATGCTCTGACCACTGAAGAGCTGTAGCAGCTTCGTGGCCCGTCCTCCCCTCCGCGTTTTCTCTCCTTTCCAAGGAGAGTCCTGGCTGACCTCCTGCTTCCTTATCAGCTTCCTCCTTTGCAACTCTCAGTAGCCTCCTTACCTTCCAGCAGCCTGGAGAGTGCAGCCATGCAGCACCACGCACCACGAGCCCACCCGGAACAGCTGGATCCTACTTCATACACCCTCACAAGCAGCTCCAAACCTCCTTCCCTGCAGATGGTTCCCATCACACTCTGCTCAGGCCATCTTCCTAATCACACAGCCTCCCAAATGGACATGATGACCAGGAAGCGTAGCACACTGAACTATTTCTTAGTGCAAGAGATGTAAAACAAACTCTTCCAGCAGCAAAGACAGGCTGCTATAGACACAGCTGGCTTCCAGCTGGGTTTCACCTCCTCATTTTAGAAGACTGTGAAGTTTCCTTGTATTTGGGGGTAGAATCTGCACTTCTGGAACTGAACTGCTGGACAGGTGCTGCAGTAGTTTTTGATGGAGGAACTCTCAAAGGTGCCACAGTACAGGATGGAAGACACGAACAGTAATAAAAGGCTAAAAGAGGAAATCATGGAAAGGACAGAAGAATGAACACAGGAGAGCTTGTGAGATACCTGAAAAGAGAAAGCACTGCGGAAGAGACTTCACTGCTTGGGGCTGAGCACGACAAGTGCCAGCGGAAAATGACAGCTGAGTCATCCCCTAGCAGTGCTGGAGGAGAAACTACAGGAAGCCTAAACCTGCAGCATCTGGACCCTAGCAGACACTGTGACAAGGTGCCTGAGGGAACCTAACACTCCAGGCCCACATGCAGCAGCCTTTGAGGACAGAAACCACTGCTTTGTCTGACTAGATGTATACCTGTTAAAGGCATAACTGCCAGCAACCCAGCCTGCTAAGCCTCACAACAGCAAAATGCAGCCAAACCAGAGACACTCCTTGTCATGTGGCTGGGACACAACCATCTGAGTGATGCAACCCAATTTCTGTATGCTCGGGTTGTTGGAGTTTATTATGCTTCTGTCAGAAACCCGCTTAGTCAAGCCTCATTTGAGCTAGGAGACTGTGGACTATGAACAGAGAGTGGTGAGAAATGGGTGACCCACAAGAGGCCTCCCAGATGAAGCCATCACTATTCTGGAAAGACTTTAGAGGAGAGGAGCTATTTTATCCCCTTACAGTAAACCTGCCTGGCAAAGCAACCCCACTCCAGCACAGCAGAGCAGGAGTAACAGAAACCAAGCTCCCAAACCCAGCTGCCTTCCTGACATACTAGCACCCTTTCTACTCTGCTCTCCCCAGAGCCTTCCCAGGCACATGGCAGCATAGCTCCTCACAGGGAAAAAAACACAGGGGCCAGCTCTGCCCAGCCATGCCCTTACAGGTTATAAGAAGACCCCAACAAAAGCTGTTAATGATGAACTTCATGAAGTAAAACTGTGTCAGAAACAGACACCTAACCTGTTTCTGGATCTGTCCTAAGCTTCCCGCTTTGACAACAGGCTTTGTTTAGATTATATTATTTAGCACCAAAGTGAAGTACCCCGGCCCAGTAAGGCTTCTAAACACATATGCAACTATCCTATATATACCAATACCAAGATAAGTCAATACAGGATCACCAATTATTTACTACCTATAACTAGATGATTACTGTGAAAATTTACTTTGAATCAGTTCTTATCAGCTACCATATAATAACATGTTGCCTCTTCTAGTCTCTGCATTTCAAGTGATTCACAGACTGTAAAAATAGAGTACTTTCCCCAAAAACACATTCAAATTAAAGTCTGCCTGGTCTTCTTTCTGCTGGGTAGTAATTATCTATTTAATTACATGGCTCCAATTTTTGCACTTTCTACTGCAGAGAAAAGATGCTTCTCCAGATGAAACAATCATCAGATACCTCAGAAAACAGGGCTACTGATTACTGTTTCTACAGCTCCAAAATGAAAGGCACCACAGTGTGAAAATGGGTGGTAGAAGGAATTAGACGAGTTTAAACGAGCATATTTCTTCCTTTATGGCTTTGTATTTCTAATTTTCTCTCACAAAAGAACTCCTCTATGCACCAGATATGTATATGGCTCCTTCCCACTGACCTAAATGAGCGTTTGCACACTTGTCCAAGGATCGTTACAGAAGAGATGTTTCTTTCTGTTCTGTAATTTCACTGTAGGCATCATCCAGGTCATAATCAGTGTTGCTAAACTGAAAAGATATATCCGGTGTTTGTTATTGTTTTTTCATGATGAATTCCTGGAATTAATTAACTTGTTGTGTGTTTTTAATTATATTAAATCTCCACTGCAAAGATACAGAGATTTTAAATGAGATTAAGTCTGCAAGATCCTGAGTTCCTGTAGATTACTCTAACATGGGTGCATCTCATCTTTGAAAATAAGATGTTTGACATACTTGCAAATATTGGACTGATACAGGCTGATAAACAAAATGATTTTGTGAATTCTCCTCCCACGCTTATTAAAAACATAATTGTTCACATTTGAAAGAATTATCTTATTCTTAACATGACTAAGGCAGGGTTGTATCTAGTTCTCTTGTTCAGGACATTATCTATCATAACCACTGGATGGATTAACCATACTGTAAGAACTGCCCTTCCTGAACTTCCTTAAGCAGTTTCCAAAACTCAGGAACTGAGAAAAGTTGAAATTAACAGCTGTGATAATTAACTGCTGGAAAATAATTTCAACAAAGTAAGAAGATGCTGTAATGCTACTGACACAAAAGTACCAGTGGACCCAGTAAAACTCATCTTGAGAAAACAAGCTGCTAGCCACGAGACGCCTGGCTGCAAATACTGGCAGACGTACTTCCCATAGCAACAGTTTCAGTAACATGACCTTTGTATTACCCAGTTTCATGCTGTGTCATTTATCTGAATTGAAAGAAGGCAAGTACTCCTATCCTCAGTACAGTTCAAAAAGGACTGATCCATTTTCTGACATGTAAGAGATGCTTTGTGGACCATATTATTCATTCTTGAGGTCACAAGTCCCATTACAGATACAGCAGGCTTGATAACAAAACAGAATTTGCATATATATTCTCACAAATACATGGTGTTGTATTTGTGAATTGATCTTGATGTTAGACTAGATATTTTGAGATGGTGTCAGAGTTGTAAGTAAACTTATCTTTCCAACAAACCCAACTCTGGCATCCCAAACATCTACTTATGCTGGTAACCAATCTCTCCCCTCCAACAGAAAAGAAGTAATGTCATCTCCTGAAAAACAGGATTCATGAATTATTTCTGAGTACAGGGCAGGAAAGCAGTAAGCTAAAATCTTCCCCTGGCTAAATCTGCACTGCAAGCTGCTTCCTTGTTGCACTGGTTCTGGGAAATTCTGTAAACCAGGCACAACTACAGCAAAACCGGTAATTTTTATCTAAAGGATATTCATCTGCTATTTGTATGCCATCATACGAGCAAATTTAGGGATCTACTTCTGACCCAGAAGCACAAACCTTACATTGTGGGTGACATGAAATAAGCAGTACATTTTTATACTGAAGATGAATGAAGTGGAGGATGGTGAGAGCCACTGTGCTAGTGCTTTGGGAGCCAGTATCAGCTGGCCCCTAGCCCATGCTGCTGGCTCTGGAGAGCTGCAGCAAGCAGCAAATTCAGTTTTAGCCTACTTCCCCTGTGTGCTTAGATTAATTTAGGTTTCAACTACGCAAATGAAACCAACCAGCTTCATAAAGGTTTTAACACCTGTCATTACACCTCCTATCTAGATACAGCCACTGCAGACATGTTTGGCCACCTCAGTGGAGGTCAGGAGGGGAGAAGCCGGATTCACATTTTGAGCAAACAAGTCAAATCTCCTAATTTTTGTTGTAACAAAACTATTTTCATGAATTGAAAACGTGCTTAAGAGCACCACCAAGAGGGAAAGAAAAGGTGGCCCTGCCCGTTCCCTTCCTCCTCATAGGTCTCTGAGGGCTGTCAGAGGTAGGGCAGAAAGAAGACCACTCTCCTCTTCCAGATGACCACACACGCACAGCACAAACGGGGAAAAACTGCATATGGGACAGGTTCTCCCTGTGGCTCACTGTCAAGTAAAGAAAGCCAAATACTCCTCTAAGTAAGGCTATCCAGCATCGGTTTCCTAACAGTCGTTTAATCTCTGTTAAGTCCATGGGTTTAAGCAGAAACACCAAATCTCTAGAATCAATGCATCTTTTCTGGCAAAGCACAGCTGATTCTTGGACAGTGAGACGAGAAGCTCAGTGGGCTGTGTTAACTGCAGCTGAACAATAAGCTAGCTACAAGAAGAGTTTATCATTAAGGTATTGCTTGTCAAGCTCACAGCCTTGAAGGAGGCTGCTTAGCATGAAACGCTGGAGAACTGGGTGTGAGACTGCAGGCTGTTCTTATCCCTCGGGTGGTATTTGCTCTGACTACAGCCACAAAGCCTCTGAGACTCTGAATAAACTGCCTTTGGTCCATGGAAAAAGTACTGAAGTAGAGAGAGGGAAATAGACTGCCGTAATGTATTAACTTTGTTCTCTGCTGGTAACAAAGGAGAGAAGTTTTGTTACTGAAAAAAATTCAAACAGAGGGAACAAACTAAGCAGCAAACAAAAGCAACACTGGTCAATTCATTTCGGCATACATCAGGCTGCAACTGTGCTGCCAATGATGTACTACATGCTGTGTAGCTATAAATTTCAGTTGTGTTTGAATAAACAACCAACATATAGAACTGCTCTGGGTCTGTCTAATGCAGTCTGTCTGTAGACAGGGTAGAATCACTACATTTCTTCAGCTGAATGGCCCCAAAATTAAAAGCTTTAGTTGCTCTCAATGTACACGTACCTGCAATCCCTTGTAGCAGCCCACAGACATTAAAAATGCTTTTCTTCATAATACTCTGCACACACATAGTAAAGACAGACACAAATGCCACGGCACAGAGAATCATGATTCCCACGGCTAGGAAAATAGCGGTTGCCTGCCAGAACCCACTGGCAATCTCATTGAAGTTTTCAGCGTAAGGACCACAAAGCGTGTCTCGTCTAGAAAACTGCATGTGGGAGATTCTGGTGCAGCGCCCATAGATGCCCAGCGTTGGATGGTAAGGTTCCTGTGACCCCCCTGTTCTGTTGTCCACATCCTCGGAGCTTGAAGGCTTTGCTTTGCCAATCAGCCAGTCTGCACTCATGAAAGCAATGAGCTCTGCAAAAGCCACCACAATACTCAGGAGAGTCCACAGCATTGACCGACACGTTACAATGACATGACACATATTGATGTCCAGTCCTTGCGATCAGTGCACCTGACGGTCTTAAAATCCAGGCACAAGGGGGAAAAAAATTAATAAAGAAAAAAAGGACCCTAAGAAAATCCCTGTAGCTGTTCTGCCGGCTTTTTCAGCTGTCTCAGAGAGGCCAAGATGTTATTTCTCAGAAGAAAAAGTGAGCAGCCCCAAGTTTTGCAAGCAGTGCAGTCATTTGTTCTCTCTGTTTAGTTCCTCCTTTTTTCTTTCTGGGATGCTGAGCACTGAAGTACACTTTTCTTTCTTAATATTCATACTGGCACATGATGTTGCAGGCTGGTGGGGGAGGCTGCAAGGACTGCCCACTGCTTGACATCACACACCTACAGGAAAAAAAGAGACAACACATCAGCAGTGAGAAAGAAGTCTTCTTTTCCACCCCCACAAGAAGCCAAGATCTGCTGCAGATCCATATCAACATGCAAATACTCTAACAAGGGCCGGTGAAGGAAAGCCTGATGGAAACCTCTGGAATTTGTCCCATGGGGAGTCATTAACCTCCGGATGCCCAGCCGTCCTTATGGTATCTGCTCTGCCCCATCCCACTGCAGGTGTTTGCCAAGCACTTCTCAAGCAAAGGTCTCAGTCACACCCAGTGGTCCCACCCACTCCTACCAGCACGCCCTCATCATCTTCCTCTGGTAGAAATCACCGCGGTTGCTGGCAGTTACACTCAGCAAAATACTTGTACATGTTTAAGCAGTTTCACAGATACACGGCTCCTGCCTGCAGTTTGGGAAGGCAGCACGTCACGCCCTCAGGATGGAAACTAGGCGCAGTTCCACGGGCTGTGGGTACCTGGGTGCAAAGGGCAATGAAGGAACCTTGTTCCAACCTTCCAACCTTCTCCTGACTGCAGCTGAGCCAACCCCAGACACAAGAGGAGGCAAACAGGACTGCAACTGAGGACAGCCCACCCTGCTATGTGGTGACACAGCCCATCCCTTTGAAGCCTGAGTTTTGCAGGAATAGTGCTTCCCTGAGTTCTGTACCCAGGTTTGCACCACTGATTCAGAGAAGCATTTTGCCTGCACGTATGTCACAAAACTCATCCTGAACTGATGCTACCACCAGCAGCCTCTGGTGACTTAACACCACTGTAAACAGGAATCTGTGGAAAAACACCCCAGCTACTGCCAAGTGGCCAAGAGCCCCAGTAAAAGGGGCTGCCAGTCAGCCTTGAGCTTCCTGACTCCTCTGAATTCCCCCCTTCCACGGTCCCGTGCATGCTAGGACTGCAGCAATATGTTCCCCAGGGCTTTACCCAAGCCTTTATGCTGCCTTTGAGCAATAGCTGATGACATTCCCAGAGTTACACTTATCTTAGCGCAAGAGGCAATCAGATATCACTGTACTTCCAATTTGTACCGAAATCTTGGCCTCAAAATAACAAATGGGTCATCACACACTCCTCTCTGCTTGAACTGAAACTTAGTCGCCTGAAAGTAAGGGTGGGAGCAGGAAATGCCCTCACGTTACTCCCTCTGTGATGAGAACGTAGCACTTCCAAGTTTTCCTCACAAAAACCAAAATACTGACATTGAACTGGAGGCAAGAGAGTCGAGAACCAGATCTGGACCTCACTGCTGCATGGCTGCCAAGCACAAAGGGGTCAGCAGATGCCAGGAAAACAGACATTCCCAATTTTTTTTCAGCTTTGTAATGGGTTTGGTATTTCATTTCTTAGGAGTCTAGAGCCCAGTGGTTGAATGCTAGTCCCACTGAATGTGAAACAAAACACACACCCACAACTTCAACACATTCAGAACTTCATGAAGCAATTTCTACTCCCTCCTGTAGTAGTTATAGTGAATCATCTGCAAGATTTTATCCACATTTCTCTTCCTTGTCTAGATCTGCAGACTCCTCTGGTATTAGCAGATACACAGACTAAAGCTGCTCTGCAACAATTGGATTTTGACACTCTTAGTTCAGTGTAACGACATTGCCTTAAACCCAGGCAAAACATATTTAGTTGTGCTTTTAGCCATACTGAGATAACAGTGCAGCTCAGTTTCCATTTTAGGGAGGAAAACATGAAGTTTTCAAGCAACCTGACATACTGGTGACTCGAATACACCCTTTGTAATAATAGAGAGATGAAGTGTCAACCTGCCAAAAAAAAGTTAATTCTCTCAGTATTTCCACTTTAAATAACAACTGGAATGTAGGAAGTCTCCACTGCAAACCTACATTCTTCTAATGTCATCTGCACAATTGAAGAGAATTTAATGGAAAATGTCTTGGATTTTTTAAGATAAGTTCCAAATCTGTAGAGTTGAAATCTGTAATTCTGTGCAAGTACCGCACCCATATGAACTCCTTTTCAAGGATTTTAATTGAGGTGCAAGAGACATAGGACTTGAACACACATCATAGCTCTTACTGCTTACTCTGTGCCCGCTGAACAGAAAATACTGTTTATTGAACACAGATGAGAACAAAGTTTATATTTACCTAAGTAGGCAGAAACTGCAGATGAACACTGGCAGCCATAGAGACATGGCACTGATAACAAATACGGAATGCTATATTAGAATCAGGAGAAAAGACCAAACCCTGGGGTCCTTTTCAATATGAAATGCAAGCCCATAAGTAAATTACAGTAACATTTTAAAGCAGAGTATCTTCAGAAAAGTCACTGCATAAGCAAAATAGTCTGTCTAAAGATGATATGGAGGTCATATAAAATCTCAGGACTTCACTGGAACATATACTTCCCTGTTTTGCAATACAGGGAAAATTCATAGCACTGAAAAGTTAGTCAATGTCATCAATAACTACATTTCAACAGATTATATCTCACTTTCCAATAAAACCTTCACAATTCAGATTTGCCAGGTAACTAGTCCTTTATGATACAAAATGTATCTTCAGAGCAATGTACCCTTAAGTCACAGGTGAACCGCATAAATTTATTCTTGCACTAGTGATGCCTTCACATGGGAGTGCAACTTACCTACAACTCCTTTTTGTGAGCAGATGATAGACAGAAACATATGAAGTAGGATGGCAAGACCAGAGGAGGGGTAGGGGCCACTCTAATACAACTCCTTTTCATGAGCGGACAGACAGAAACATAAAAAGCAGGATGGCGTACAAATGAGAGGAGGTGCAGGGGCATTTCTTCTTTGTGAGACTTAGCAAGGAAAGATTGCAGATAAAGTACTGAAGATAAGTTACAGTTCAGTCACGCTTGTGTAGTTAACCTTTTCTTTCCAACATGCCTTGAGTTTCCAAATGAACCTATCCGGTTCTCAAGCAGCTCTGACAGCATGTTTGTGCCATACATGGAAGCCTTTCCATATAAATAACTGCACTTCATGAAGCTTCCCTCCAGCACTCTGCTCACTCTGTTTTTTCCAGTTTTGCTCAACAGAAACTCAAGCTAGGCCCTTCCAAGGCTGAAAAATGCCTATTTATTCACATCCCTTAACAAGTTTTTTCCATGACAGAACTGTATGTTCTTCACAGCACGCCACTCAATATCCACTTTTGACTGACTGTCAAAATATTTGCTTTGACAGCCCAAATTCAAAATATACAATGGTTCTTTAACCCCCTTGATATTAACTCGTTCAAAATAATTCTCTCTGAGGAAGCAGACTACAAAAAGTAAACTTCGCCCTTAGTCATTTGGGCCTCCCCCTATTACATTCAATTGTACAGGTGTGGAAGAAGGCCATCCGTACTGTGGAAGAGGAAGCCCCAAGAGAAAAACAGCCCCGCATGCAAGCACTCACATAAGCTGCACACTACAGCAGCTCCCCAGCATGAGAGTCTCAGCAGTACCATCCCACCTCACCATACAACCCATCGTTCCCCAGCTGCACAGCTTTTGGACAAGTCAAAACTACATCTTCAGCTTTATTTACTCTGCTCTCTGAATCATGCTGATGGGTAGGCTCTGCATCAAGTGAAGTCTAACACAGTGAAAAGATGGCAGCGAGAACATCAGATCCTCACTGCATTCAGAGAGAATAAAACTGAGTCCCTGAATGCAAAAATCTTTTGGTTGTTTATTCTAAGAAAACAAACCATCTTAAAATATCAGCAAAACTTTCTTCCTCTTTGGATGCAATTTTGACAGCCAGTTACTCTCTCAAGTTGTATTTTCACATTTCTAACTAATACTATTCAGCTGATATCTTTTCCTACACAACGCTGCTATATGCTAAGTAAATAAATAACATCTATTTTTCTGAACTAGGCGAAGAAACATACTTGCCTCCATTTTGCTTACACTGCCAAACCCAGGAAGTCAGAAGCTGAACCAAATTATAATATTTAAATTAACATTTTGATATTAGAGATGTTGAGCTGCAGCGTTTTCCTTTGGCATACCAGGCAGATAGGAAGGAGCAGCTGCAAAGTTCAAATCTGAGTCAGTCACATACCACAGCTGTTTATTTTAAAAAGGTGTCCTACAAGCAATGTACAAGAGACCCATAAGTACTTTTCAGAACAATACTAGGGCCAGTTTTTCATGTTCTCCTTATGATTTGACTGAAAATGGGCTCAGGCTAAACCCTATAATTCAGTTTTTGCCCTTCCCAGCCTAGTTCTGTCAGCTCCAGACTGAGAATAAATCATCTTTCAGTAAGTGGCTTTTGGCTTGTCTTAAACAAACAGCTGAATAGAAGGCCACACACACTGCTGAAACAGCCCCAGTTTGTAAAATAAATCCAGGCACAATTAGACATCTTCTTCTAAAGCTCGCTATAGTCCAAGGCACAATTACGCGGAGGAGTTTCTAAACCTTGTTTACAATGTACAAGCTTGAGCATCTCATAACCCAAAATGTGCAAAACTTAAGAGGCCTGTGTTCTGCTTTCTCTGAAACATTGTTCATTAGCAGTTATAAACACTGTGAAAATGCTTTGAACTGTAAGAGTGGAAGTGGCTCCTATTTATGTTGATGTTTTTAGATTCACTATTTAAAACAAACAGAAAGAGGCTCACACACCAAG